ATAACTATTGATTCTGGTTTTAATTATAGCTAACAGCTTAAACCATGGCTTAGTTATAGCTTGGCTATGGCTTTTTTGAGCCAAGCCAAGCTACCCAAACCAACAACATCCCTAATAAAAACTAAAATTAGAACCTTACATAATTATATGTATATATAAAAAAAATCTTTAAAATTGCACCCTAACCCTAAAAATATATTAACACCAACAACACCATAGGTGCATTTTATATTATTTGTTTATTTTAGAAGTTCGTATGATCTGCAGCCAGTGTAACAAGGCATTATAAGTAGTTCTCTACGTTACACATATGCGGAATATTTGATTCTTGACGTTAACTTCTACTGATATATTACAGAATTCAGTAGCTCTATTAAGCTAAAGACTATATACTATATGTGCAAAAATTGCCTCTTAATTTTCAGACTTTTATCAGATTCTGATTTCATAGTTAAATATGGAACGGCTAGACCAGGTTGGCACATTCATCCATTAGGGCGAATGGAGAACATCTCCATTTCCTACCTTGGGTACGTTGATCTCATTAGATTTTATGACTATACGGAATTTTCTGCTTTTAAAACAATTGGTGAAGGGAGATGTGGAGTTGTATATCGATCAGAATGGAAAAACTGTAAATTAACCGTTGCTCTTAAAAAATATAAACCTTCTTTGAATGAAGAAAAGATCTTTCAAAGATATGTTACAGAGGTAAGAGATTTTGTTACATGCTATAAGGCAAGAGATCATAATCGAGTAACACATATCATTAAACACTATTTATTTAGATTAAGTTCTTACGAAAAGTTGGCATGCATCCAAATATTGTTGAATTTTACGGAATTACTCAAGGTTAGAATAACAACAATAGTAAATAATTAAATAATCCGTATTTACTTTTAAATCAATAATTTATGTTCACAATACTGGCAGATCTATCAAATGAATATTGTATGGTTTTGCAATTTGCAAATAATGGAACGTTACATGAATATTTACGAATAAATTTTTCAAAGTTGAAGTGGACTGACAAATTGCGAATGGCCTGTGAAATTTCAAATGGTCTTAATTTCTTACATAAAAATAATATTATTCATAGTGATCTTGTAAGTATCAGCCTATTTGATTATGTAAACAAGCAATTTATATATTTATTAATAGTTGTTATTTTTTATTCTAGCATTCTAGAAATATACTAGTTCATGAGAAAACCATGTTGATTGCAGATTTTGCCCTATCAAAAGATGAGACATCAATAAGTTCAAATTCTGAATTTTATGGGATGGTAGAATATATTGATCCTTATTGTCTTGCAGATCTAAATTATAAACCTCGTAAGCAATCAGACATTTACAGCTTTGGGGTAATTCTTTGGGAAATTTCAAGTGGTCGGCCGCCATTCCAATTATTTAATAAGATTTGGATCCTCCATCACATTCTCGAAGGAGGAAGAGAAGAGCCTATTGAAGGTACGCCAGACTCGTACATTCTACTTTATAAAGGATGTTGGGATCATCGTCCGGACCAGCGTCCAAAAATAGAAGAAATTTCAATAATACTTAGAAACCTTTTAAAAAAATTGGGTATGTGATTTAAATTATTTTATACCAGGGACTGAAAATTACTGATTGATTAAACTTTCATTTAGATAAAAATGAAACAACTAGTAATTCAAATCAAGTCGATGAGAATGATGATGCTGATTATCTATTATTAGTATCGATTCTCACAAAACTCATAATAAAGTTCATAGATGAACTATGGAATTTTTTTATATTTCCTAAACATAGAGCCCTTATGGGTACTTCAACTTCTATTCGCTTTTTCATCTTTAATACAGATTCTTACCGAAATGGAATTTGTTTATATTATATTTCATAAACGTGGGACTTTTATGGGTGCTTCAACTTCTAATTGCCTTTTCATTTTTTATACTTATTTTTATACCAAAACTCGTGGGAAAAGCTTATTGCATAACGAGCAGTTCTGAAAACTCATAGGAAAACTTATCACGTAACGAACAGTTCTGAAAATTCTCTTGCAAATTTAAATATATCATTAAAAAAGTACTATTAGGAACGATTCGTACAGACAACTTTGGCATGGATTCTGCTATAAAAATGGCATAGGAAGCATAGGGGCTTTTAAAGATTATAAAAAGGCATTCAAATGCTATTTAAAATCTGCCGAAGGTGGCAATTCGTATGGACAACTTAATCTTGGATTCTGCTATAGAAATGGCATAGGAACTGCTAAAGATGATAAAAAGGCATTTGAGTAGTATTTGAAATCTGCTGAAAATGGCAACACTCGAGGACAATATAATGTTGGATTTTACTATAAAATTGGCATAGGAATTGCTATAGATGAAAAAAAAGCGTTTGAGTGGTATTTGAAATCTGCTGAAGGTGGCAATTAAAATGGTCAAAATAGCCTCGGACTTTGTTACAAAAACGGCATAGGCACTATAAAGGATGAAAAAAAGGCATTTGAATGGTGTTTAAAATCTGCTGAAAGCGGCGATTCCGTTGCACAATATAATCTTGGTACTTACTATGAAGAAGGCGAAGGCACGGTTAAGGATGAAAAAAAGGCACTTAATTGGTATTTAAAATCCGCAGAAAATAGTTATAATGATGCACAACATAGAATTGGATTATGTTATCGAAACGGTATTAGAACATTACCTAATTAGGAAAAGGCCGTTGAATGGTTGAAAAAAGCAAAAATTAACGAAAATCGACAAATAACTAATAATAAAGATATTAACATCGATGACTTTTTAAAAAGATCATTATCAGAAAGTAGTTTATCATTGATTCCATTTAGAGAATTGACTTTTATTAAAAAAATTGGAAAAGGTGGATTTGCAACTGTTTATTTGGCTATTTGGACGCGTATATACATGGATTCAGTTCAAAGACGAAAGGTTGCACTTAAAATATTTCATGGATCAAAAAATAGTTGCAAAGAACTTATAATAGAGGTTCGTACATATTTGATACCTCTAATTTTATTGAAATCAGATGTCATTATTATTCTAACATGGTATTAATATTTATAACTTTAAGTTAATGGCGTATTCAAATATTAAAATTAAAAGGTTCACATTTTTACAATGCTACGGAATATCAAAGATGAAGATACTGGAGATTGCGGTAATGGGATCTTTACGTAAGAATATTTACGAAGTTGCACAAATGAAATGGGAGAAAAATTAGACTTGTTATTTTACATTGCTTCCGATCTTCAAACAATTCATTCGAATGACATTATTCATTGTGATTTGCATAGTGGCAATATATTTAAGATAATTTACACAATGCTTATATTGGTGATCTGGGATTTGCAACATCAGTTAATAGAACATTAGATGCAGAAAATAGAGGAATTTATGGAGCTTTATCGTATATGGCTCCGGAAGTTTTGCGAGGAAAGTCATTCACTAAAGCATCAGATATTTATTCTTTTGGAATGATTATGTGGGAGATTTCTTCTGGATGTGTTGTATTTTCCGATTATGAATATTATGATTTAAGATTGGCTATGGAAATTTGCGAAGGACTGAGGCCAACTCTTATAAAAGGGATTGCTTCATGTTATGCTGATCTTTTAAAAAAATGCTGGGATAAGGACCTAGAAAAACGACCATCTGCTATAACAATTTATGAAACTATTTTAACCTGGAAAATTCTACAAAAATTTTGGATGAGTTTTTAAAATCTGATAAAGAAATGGTAATCGAAAATAACGCTCTTAATAATGTCAATTATAATACAATTCATAATAGCGAATTTATTAGTTATATTAACCAACAATCAGACAACAACTTGAAACTATTGAATATTAATTAGAGCTTAAACCGGACCAATTTTAATTATATGTTCAAAATAATCAATCTCTATTGCTAAATTTAGATGTTCCAATATATATTATGTTAACCAATAGAACTGATGCACTAGTCACAATGTGTGTCGCATATTTTTTATATTTACAGGCATTGGATTTATAGTATTTTTCATTAATTTGTGTTTTGATGCCCTCCTCCATTCTTGTAAGTTACTCTTGTGCTTGACAAATAATCAAGGACCGGCTTGTTAATAGAGAGAAAGAATATACAGTATTTAAAACTTCCAAGAAATAATGAATATAAAGCACACACAGTATATTTCATATTTTATAAGAAAATAAAAAAAAAATTCAACCTTTAACGTTTTTTGTTACAACATTAAGTTGAATTTACAAAGTTTTATTTAGATTTTTTTGAACGTGATCTTTATTTCAATATTCCTGCGTTTATTGACGTTTTATTCTTGAGAGCATTTGTTCTATTTATCAAGTTTGCAATTACTGTGTATATGCTATGCGTCATTTTCAATTTATGTTGATTACCATGAAAGTTCATATACAAGATCCCAAAATTGTAGACCCACCATGAATTAGATCCGAGTGCGAACCACAGAATCTTTATTAATTTAATGCGGTTTTTTCAATAGTTAGAATGCCTATTATAAATACAAAGTATGTATGTCTTTAAATTTTTTCTTTTCGTGATGTTACCTCTGGTCAAGTACTAGATCCTGGGTCTACTAAAGGGTTTAAAAATTGATGGAACGAAACAGACTCGGGTCTTGTATATGAACTTTTACGATATTAATGACGCGCGTCATTTTTCATTTTCACCGATTGAAAAAAAAACAAATTAGACAAATCTAGATAAAAAATTTTTAAAAAAAGGTTTTAAACCTTGCATAAAAATATTTTCAAAGACTGATTTAATAATTCTATAAACACCGTACGGTACTGACTACAGTACCCCCGGGTACTTTTCAATAAGCCATCGAATTTCTTGAATAGTACCCACCTGGGTTAGTGCTCGGCAAAATCAAAAAAAAAAAAACTTGAATTTCAATTATCGATTTACAGTATTGTGCTTTAATTACAAAATCTATTTTTACTTTAATCTGACTTTAAACTTCATGATAAGTTACCACGAAGTCTAAAGTAAGATCGGATGCCTGTTAAATTTATGTATTACTAAAAAATAAATTTTGGTTCAATGCCTAATATTGTAAATTGATAGATTCAAAAGCTTGAAAATCAAGTTTTTGTTTGATTATGCTGTGCACTAACCTGGGTACAAATTATGAAGGAAGGTACTATAATAAGGAGGAGGGTATTTTACATAGTTTCAATATAATTAATATAATTATGAGGGAAGGTACTATAATAGGGGGGTACTTTACATAGTTTCAATATTATTTAATATGATAATGAGTTTAAATCTAAGTATATGTATATATCTATACCCGGGTTTTTAATAATTTCCTGAATCATGAACTCATGAATTGTACCCGGGTCTTTTCTATTGGGGGGGTACTGTAGACAGTGCCGTACGGTACGAGCTCTACAATCTACTTTTAAAAATTTAAAATTAATTCTATTTACAGTACATTGCGCAGCTATCTTATTGATTATTAGTTTAAACGGATCGCCGAAACTGCTCATAATGTCTAGTTCCATAGTTTTAATTATATGACATATTAGTCTATAACTTTTAACAGGTTTTTCAATCATAATCGGCAAAATTAAAAAAAGATTCAATCTTAAAATTTTGTCTATATAACTGCTTTTCATCCTCCAACAAAAAAAAAAAAAAAATTCCTCTCATGATTTTGGTATATCCTTTGCTCTAAATACTCATCTAACCCTAATCTATCGCTATTACTAAACACTAATTTCGAAATCAGGCTGATGTCGATCAGTCTAGGCCGAATGATCGATAAAACCTGGCACAGACTATTTATTTACTAATTTTTATTTAAAAATAAAAAAATTTTTATGAAATAGATTAATTTTGTATTTTTCAAAATTATTAAACTTTAGTGTTTTGTACACAATTCCATTTACCTAAAATAAATCACAATTTTTTTTTTACATTTATTAATGTTAACATTAAACTTTAAAATGACATTAAGACATTTAAACAACTTTCTAAAATTATTAATATTGGAGAATCAACAAACACTAAAAAATTCAAAGCATATCAAATATTCTAAAATGTAGATTTTTATAGATTTTCATATTAACACTAATAATAAAGATATAAATAATATTAAACCTGGTAATTTAAAATATGTTTCTATTCTATAATTTGGAATTATTATTAAGTAAGATATAATAATATTTTCTATAATAATTTCTTTTGCATGTACAAAAATGGCAACAATATTTTAGTAAAGTACGTATCCAATTTGATTTTGATTCTGAAAATTTTACATCAATTCAAGAAAATGCATTAGTCTTACTTATTAAACAAGATTATTTACAAATTGAAGTTTGTGATCTTGTTTTCGAATGGAGAATTGCTCAAAATCATGGCTTGCCATTAATTCTTGAAAATGGTCCAAAAAAATTTCTAGCTTTAAATACTACCTTATAAAATTGTTTACCTCATATCCGTTATTTTCAAATCAATGAAAAATGTTCAATGTAATAGAATGTGGAATGGGGCATGTGCTTAATGAAAAATTGCTGCTTCAAGGTTCTGGTTACTTTCTCATTTCCATTGTGATTGAAGCTTCACCAGTTCCACGATAAAATGATAGTACATCTCGTATGATATTACAGAAGGCTTTTACACAGTCATGGAGACATTACAAAATCAAAATTTCATGAGGAGAACAAAGGAATTAATAGACAAGTCAGTGGTGCGGGATTCAAATGAGAGGTAGCTATGATAAAAAAAATGTGTTCAATACTGAAAAAAGGACACATGAATGGGAGATGAAATCTTCAGAGGTTATACAACTGGAATATAGATAGTCAAATTACCCCTGAAGTTAAGAAACAAAAGTTGATAAATATAAAGCAATGTCATAAGATGGCATATGTATTGAAAATATTATTTTATAATATTGATGATTTTGAAAAATACTTTAAAAAACTTTATAAGATACACTTTGAACAAATGACCTTATTTATGTTTTAAATAGTAAGAACTTTCATAAGGAAGACAAACACAAACAAGAGGTTATAGTGATTCATATATTTTCGAGATAAAGCAAATAGTTGTGATTTTTCCATCATCAACAAGAATAAATTTGAACTTCAGTGGCTTTTCCTTTGCTGTCAATCTGATGTTATTTTTATCACATAATCTATGTTTTTCCTGTGCTATTATTTTTAATCCCAAACTTTTTTAAAACTCAAAAAGTTAACACTTTTGTAAATCAAAATTGAATCCATGTGTTTTATTTTTAAAGAAATGAATCAAACTTGTGGTTTCAATTTTAATTAAAAGCAAACTATGTTTAAAAATTTTGAGATTAAAATTGGATTTCTTATTATTATCTTTCTATTTTGCATAGTTGACCTATCTGCTATGCTATTACATCATCAATTTGCTTATTGTATTTAAATTTTATTTATATCATTATTATTTTATTATATTTAGGCTGTTAAAAGTTAATTTATTGATTTAGAATTTTGAATTTAGAGATAAAAAAATAATTAAACAATCATAAATAAACATGATATAAATTTATATTAACTTAAATACATAGTAAATTTTGACAATACATAGTAAAAAAGTAAAATTTTTAACCCAAATAATTTAGTAAATTTTTAATAATAGTAAAAAAAAATAAATCAGCATACTAATTTATAGAAAGAAGCACTATCACTGGTTGAGGTTTTCTGGTGCTTAAGAATCGGTTGGTCATTAAACGATTTGTTGAACAAAATACGAGGAAGAATTCAGAAGAAAAATTTTGAAACAATGATCTTTTAAGTTTAATTTAGTATTGTTGCTATTTTATAACTATAAAATAATATTCGCGATAAAGTTATATACTGTTGAACCTCTAAAACTCGATCCTGTCAAAATCGATAGATTGTCAAATCTGATAAAAAAAATTAATCTATCGAGTCCGTTTCCGTTATATAAATTTAATAGGTTATAGTGTTTTCAAATCTGATAACTGATATAAAATCTGACTGCCATGCATATCATTTTTGAGAGATTCAACAGTATGCCATTCCTAAATTTTCAAATATATGGGTAGGGCCAAGACTAAATTTTTGAATAAACCCTGAAACTTTGAAATCCACTAATCGACTAAGCTGGTTGCTTTATCGCTATCTAAAAGGTTTAATAATTACTAGCATTAAACTAGTAGTGTCTTTGAATATAGGCTATTTCCAAAAATAATTATAGTGTGCATAAGGAGCTTCCAGATATTATGTAGATATAGTCCCCCAGAGTCAGTCGTTTGACACAATAGTTTGACAATTACAAATTCGATTACTTTAGAACTTGTA